CCATAATTTGATAAATATCTGTCGGTCCATGCACATTTCTACAGAGTAAGCAAAGCCCTAGCTACTAGCATCATAAGCTGTTGTTGTCATGGTTAGTTGCTTAATGTCGTGTGCCTGTGTGAGGTCATTTTTTGCAGGATGAAAGGGTTGTCTAATAAATACCTGCTCTGTGCTGACATTATGTATTCTGTTGTGCTGGGAGGCAGAGATAGAATGCTAAGTGAATTAGAAAAGCCTGTGTTAAGATGACAGAGCAGCAGAGTCAAACACTGGTACAAGCAGTTATCACATCATTATTGTTGTTGTTTATCATTTTAATTTCAGTAGCATCAGACACATGTTTCGTGTCCTGTCCTGACCTAAGGTTCCTATTCAGGAAAGAAAACATGGCTCAGTGTTATTCACACTGCAGAAAACAGCAGTGTGAACACTTTATGGCTCTAGATGCTTTAATCTAGTCATGTGTTAGGGGTTGTTTCAGTCATTTAGCATGCATGATAGCAATCAGCACACAGATACTTGTTTAGCTGCAGTGTAATTGCTCCTGGGCTCATGCTTATTCCTTTAGAAAATGTCCAACAGAGACATTTACTAGCAGCCTTTCAACTTTAACAAGCACCACATTAGGTTTTACCCTCCCCAGCCATGGAGACAGGAACATTGCAGTCTGTGGACTATTAATCTCCTGCTTAAAATGTACTTTCTGCCAAGATTAATCAAGCCATGGACATGCAGTCAATAAGAGGAGGCTATTTAGATAAGTGTAACCCATTATAATTACTTTAGAAGTCAGAGGCTTTAAGGTGTTACAATTGATTCTGTTATCACTGTTTTTTAATGTCAAGCATGCTTGCTCTTTGGCTTGAACTTGAGGACAAAATGAACAGATTGTGGAGGCAAATACACCCCTTTTAAATCACAAGAACACATAATAAATAACCTTCGAATTAAACAAAGAAAATCAAAAATGTTACCTATGTTGAACTGTGGATTAATTAGTAAATAAAAGGTAAAGGGTTTAAAAAATGTTTTGAGCTTAATAGTTGCACATGTGCATGAATGGTGTGTGGAGAAGAGGGGGGAGGGCTGGAAAGCAGCCCGCAGTCAATATCATCCTCATCATTTCATTAAACTTGCCTTACACAATGGGAATGTCAGTATCTATCAGGAAGCTAATGTGGCAGTGATTCCCAGAGGCGGGAGATATATTTGGCACCACTGACAAGATTCATAGATATATAAGAGAGAGGAGTAACACAGCTAAGAAGGGATAGATGGCTGAGCGACCTATCGTGTGTGAGAGGAAACTTTGCCTCAGCTTCAGAATACAAAACAAAAGTGCTGATGGAAATAAATTCAACACAAGGTGCAAAGGCAGTGCGAGTGTTTGTTTCATTTGCAGCATTATAATGAGTGCTGAATCGTTTATGTGTGTGTGTGTGAGTGTGTGTGTGTGTGTGTGTGTGTGTGTGTGTGTGTGTGTGTGTGTGTGTGTGTGTGTGTGTGTGTGTGTGTGTGTGTGTGTGTGTGTGTACCAGGTGTGAAATGGAGGGTGAACAGACTAGTGCAGAGACAGACATTAAGTGTTTCACAGTCTGGTATTCAGAGCCGGCCCACTCACCCTCCAGAGAGAGAGGCTACTGCAAAAACAAAGGTGCTCCAGCTCCTCATCATTTTATTGACCTGATCTCCTTTTGATCAAAGTTTAATAATGCTCATAAGTAAAATTGATGGCGATACTGATTGTTGATGAAACACTGCTAAATATTGATTTTATAGCCTAAATCAGCTACAGCCTTGTATTTGCATACATGTACCATTATATACTAAATATAATGATGAAACATTTTTGCAATATTCTTAGTAAACTGATATTTGTATGAACTTACTTTGGGAGGCCATTCATTCTTGTCCAGAGTTACTAGACTGTGACAAACTACAGGACCTGAAGGCTTGACTTCATTTGCATTTTAATCATTATAAGATTCTCCAACACCTGCTTCCAAATTAGCTATGTCATTACGCTTTGGCAAGGTTAAACCTTCAGTCATACTGACAAACAAAAAAAGGCAAAAAAAAAACAAAACAAAAACAAAAAAACACTCTCTCTTTAGATGTGACTAGAAGTCAAGGGTTGTCGTTTCTCTTACCCCATTAGGAGTGGTTATTCCTTTAATCCTCTGTTCCCTGTAACTTTACAAAGCAGCCAGTGACACTGAGTCTGTAATGATTGCTGCACTCAACCATGAAACAAAGAAACAGCGTCTGCCTGGTGGAGGATGGGAGGTGAGCCATTGAAACAGCCAGTCCCTCCATGGCTGTGTCGAAATAAAACGCAGCCAGGCAGAGCCTTGAAATAGCCTCCTCAGGAAAAAAAAAATGTTAAGAGAGCACAGTCTAATGCGTTTTATGATAAATACCTTAAAAGTGTGAGTAATGAGAGGAGTGAAGGAATTGGCAGGGGGTTCTCATGAAATCTCAGCTGTGTGATGATCAGCCAATAAAAAGTCCCTCCAGGGTGATTAATCTGACCAACGGTTGGTGACAGCCACGTGGATTGAAAAGATGTACGGGAAAAAAGAAAGATAAAAAGAAAAAGATAAATGGAAAACATGCACATTTATCCAAAATTACCCTTTACTGCCGGATTTTATACAGACCACATTACTGTAATTTTTTCACTACATACTGAATTTCATTTCCATATATTTGTTTATAGCTTGGATACATGTACAGAGAAAGTCTTCTCATCTGTTAAACTGTCACCACCTTGATGCATTCACCCATCTTTGACAGTGACTGATGAACAGTGAGTTGACTCTCTTTGTCTGCTCAGAAAAATATACTTAACATTGTTTCTATCAACATCATAACCTTTCCTAATTCAATGAGCATTGCTTATAAACATGATTTAGAACTGATGACATGAATCAGACATCAGTTGCAGAAAATAGTGAATTACTTCTATTTATGGTCTCAGAGGCTCCAGCTGTAAAACACATTTAAAGACAATGGACTTCTATTATTGTCTATCTGTGATTAGTGTTGACAGTACTTTTCACACAGCACTACCCTGCAAAATACCAAATAATGTGAGTAGTCTATATGTATTTCTGTCCTACAGACAAGAGGAATACATATATATGCTCATGTAACATATAAAACATGAAATATTCCTTTATTTGGTGTATTATGCTTTATGGTCTTTTTGTGTATATTTCAAATTCAGTGTGCAAGTCCAGTTTGTGACAAAAGGAAAAGGTACCACATTATTATTAAAGGTATAAAGGCAATGTCAGATGACAGGTTGCAAGGGCATGCAAAGGTTAAGATAGGTCTTCTCCAAGATGCTCTCACATCAGTGTTGTTCCCCACATATATTTATTTGTAAAGTTTAAAGGTTTAAAGGCTTTTTTACAAACTGCAAAAATTGTGCCCACAGATGTTCTACAGCTTATGTCTTTATTAGCGCTGTGGATACAACAGTAATACTCTGCAAATGATGGCGTGAAGTTAAAGTGCCTACATCGAATTTGACAGAGGGGGACATTTTTCCCACTAATCCAGGAATGTACAATAGTTCACTTAATCTTGCTGTGCATTTCATTGTTCAAGCAAAATTCTTAATAATAATAAATAATTCCAGTTTCTCACATTGTTTTTTCTCAACATAAAAGTGTGCCTACAGTGAGCATGTTAAGAACAAAATATTGCATATTATAGTTTTACTCCACTGAACACATTATAATACAGACAATCATATGTCCCTAAATAAGCTGCCCCATGGTCATGGTTTAGCATTGTGCTTTTTATCCAGCAGCAGCCGCACTGCCGGTCAAGCCTCCCACATCTAGCAAAGTGTCTGGACAATATTCAGTCAGTGAATCACAATGACTTTGCACAGTTACACAACATAGATTGCACTAAAGTTAAGGGCGATAAGTTAAGTATTCTTATTATTAACAGCTGAATTCATCCATAAGGGAGAATAAGGGCCGTGTACATGTTCATAAATGTAACTCAACCCTTCTTTGGTTCACAGATACACTAAAAGACATTGTGATTGTGATACATTATGATATAATACAGCAGAGTTTCCAAATATGAAGGAGTATACATTGCAAATGGAACACATTTGCAGATAACCTATTCACAATTATAATCTCTCGATATAAATAAAGCGATTATTCTATTACATATTATACTGTATGGTTGATTTACATATAGGATCTTCTCACTGTAAAACGTGGACACATTTGGCACAAAGGCAATGTAACAATACTATACACAATCTACACAAAAATCTCTAAAAACACAGCACTCAAGTACAGTAACTGTTACAATGACTGTGTTATATATTCCCACTTACGTAATATCAAAGGGAAGTAACAGCTAGGTTACAATATGGCGGTGCATCTGGCTTGATAATTACATAGACAACATGGAGCACCAATAGTCAGAACATCATATTTATATTAATACTATTTATGTCAATGCTGTAAGGTTCCCCACGTTGTGCTCTGTTACTTGTGAAAAAATACTTTGATCACATTCTGTTTTTAATACCGATCTTCATATAGTACAACAGTAAAATTACACTTTTATAGCTGCTGTATGACAGAATCGTCAGAGTGCTCAGGAATTCTTGCGTTTTCATATTTACATGAAAAGGAACCTCATCACATTGACATTATATATGTTCGTTCCACACTTAACATATGGTTTAGCAAGAATACCAGTGTGCTTATGTGATTCTCTCAAGCTTTGACTTATGTCCGTTTTTATTCAGATAACCCGTTGTGCAAATGTTTTAGATATATGTCATTGCTGCTAAAGACAGAAGAGACAGAGAAAAGACACACAGGGCATATTATTATTTGTTGTGCATTGTCAGAAATGACCTGTAAGCAGAAATCTGAACATCTGTATAAGACAAAAGGGACATGAAGCCAAGCTCTAGGCTCTCCAGAGTCAGTAAAGACAAATGTTTGGGGGTTTGGGGTGGGGGGGGTTGGGGGTTGGGTGTTGAGGGGGGTGGTTGGAGGGTTGGCTTTACAATACAGGTGTGGCTCTTACAAGTCATGCCCCAGTCGCTCGATCTCCTCAATCAGGAAGTCAATGTCTGACCTGGTAGCAGCAGGGTTGGAGATGACCATGCGGAAGAAGTTGACCTTGTCTCCTTGCGGCTGGTAGCCCACCATCGTAGTCCCAGACTCCATCATCATGGCCTTGATCTTTGGGGCCACCTATTGTGGAAAACATAGAGTGTTACCATCCAAATTCTGCAAAACACAAGCATGTGTGCAGACACAACTGCGCTTTATTTTACCGTATGAATCCCTGAATCTAAGCAGATACAATAAACCAGTCTGAGAGGGCAGGGGAGCTAGAAACAAAGCTTAAAAAACAGATTAATGAGTCATTACCTTGTGCAACCTCTCCCGCCTCCCTTCACCATCAGGTACGCCTCGCAGGCTCAGTGGAATGTACCAGAAGCAGACGTTGGTGTGCTGCGGCTGATAAGAGGAAATGGGAACAACATTTGTAATGAGCGCCAAATATAATGTGCCTACTGTAATTTCAGCTTTTCTTGTCAACATGTCAGCAATGCAAAATGACCCAATCAATCCTAAAACCAAGTTAAGATATTAAATGTATTGTTGTTGTATAATAAAGACAGTTTTCCTCCGTTGTTCCAGCAGATCATTTTTAGTATCAAGTGAATTCTGATTTTATCTGATAGCTCAGTACAGTGAATATTCATGTGTTCATTTGAAAGATATTTGCAATTTATTTGCAATAATGACCTCACCTCTCCGTTAAACACCATCTCGAAGCCCTCTCTGTTTTTTATCTTATTGTAGAGGTACGCTGACAGATCCAGGCACTTGTCAATATGCTGCTCAAATCCTACTGTTCCCTTTTAGGTACAATGAAAAAAACAATATGGAGTTGTTACCATTGTATTTTAGATACGGCAGCATCACTGATAAAGGCAACAGGTAACATATAGGTCTAGATAAATGCACACCTTTGCCTTCCACATGAGCCAGAACTTAAAGATATCAACATGCCGGCCGCACTGAATGGCCTTGTCGCCTGTGTCGTATGTAACATCGTACTGTTTATCTGGCTGGAAGAGGTAGCCAGCACACATGGAGTTGCAGCCTTGTAGTAATCCCTGCAATGGAAAAAAATTGTGATGCGAGATAAACAGGACAGTAAAGCAGAAAATTGTTTGTGTGTGCGTGGAATTGTGATTATTTGTGTACACGTGCAGTGGCAGTGTGTGCAGCGGGAAAGTGAAAAACATTCTCACCCTCTCCCTAACCAGAATGGCAGAACACTGCAGTGGCACTCCCATCATCTTATGAGGGTTCCAGGTGACTGAGTTGGCCCTGCACAGATATTGAAACAGTAAAAGCAGCTCTGTGAGCGTGGTAATCTTAGAAGTACATCGACATTTTCAATTTCATTCCAATATCCATGCATGAGCCTTGTGAAAGGCATGGTTTGAAATATCTGTGGTCATTGAGCTGAGTACAAATTTGAAATTTTACACTTTTTTTGGCCCTCATTTCAAAAGGGCATTACAGCAAATCACTTTTTTCACTTTCATGTTGATTAGGGACTTGGGGCACCCTGGTCGCCAAGGGGCAAGGCAGGCAACATAGACATCAATTAGAACGATACCAAAGTGGAAGTGTTATCTCTTCTTACATCTCAAAACAGCGTTCTATCCCATGAAGTATCTGATATTACCTGTTTGCATTCATCATGTAGTTGGATTTGTCCCATTGACAAAGGCTGGGGCTTGTCAAGCAGAGAAGGGAGGAGCATTTTTTTGGACGTTTGCACATGTGCATTGTGGATAGTCCTGGTATCTTTGACAAGTGACTTGCTATAGCTAGCTACAGACAAGTGTACTTTTCAAGCTGCCCTTGACTCAGCTTCTACCTCTCTGAGATCAGCTATGATATTGCACACATTCGCATTTGTGGATAAGTGACAATCACTCATTGAGATGGTGGTTTGTGGGTGGGAATTTAAAAAAAACAAAACATGATAGAGATAATAATAATTGACCTTATTTGCAATTGGAGGTGGCCTATCAACAGTTTTTCAGCCATCTTTTTAATAATGGTGGTCTATGGGAAAAATGTTTTTTTGGCAACAGGGATTATGTTTTTTTTGTTGCAATACCACGAGTCAGCACTGAGACAAATTGTAACAGCGCCCTTGTATCCAGCATTCTTCATGGTCAAGCCCCCAAACCACTAACTTCTACATTTCTCATAATGCAACTCAATTAGCATCTATGAAAATGGTCATATTTTCTCAAGCTACTCTAGAGCCACAAAAGACATTATACAACCATCACAGGCTGAGCAGCACTGTCTGTGACAAGTAAACTGAACTTGATGTTTAAAATCAGCAGCGTGTGCTTTTAAAAATGAGTTGTGTTCTTTTACCTCTCCACTCCGTTCAGCTTGTGTCTGTGTTTTCTGGACATCAGCAAACCTCCTCCCCAAGCACCCTGCACAGGACGCAACATACTTATTACAGCACAGATTTATTAACTAATGGTGATGCTAATTACACTGCTTTAACAGGGGGCTGATATCTACAGCTGTTGTTATTTTTTTTGTATTGAAGATTAGCAATATTCTCTTACATCCACATGAAGCCAAATATTGTACTTTTCACAGATGTCTGCAATTTCATTGATGGGATCAAAGGCTCCGTAGACGGTGGTTCCAGCGGTAGCATTCACAAACATCGGAACATACCCCTGCAAACCAAAAGCATGGGGGGGGAGAGAGAGAGAGAAATTGGCTAAAATTCTGGGCTGAATTCAAGTTGTTATGCTCTTTTCCTCCCAGTGATTGTTGACATCAAAGAGATAGGCTAAAACACATTTCTCAAATAATGCACTCTTCCTGTCTGCGCCTATTGTTGGGGCATAATTGCTTTCCAATTTCTTCTAGTCTGCACATCATTTTGCCTTTGAAGCATTACTTCCAGGAGAGGTACTTAAGACCAGGGCAGCATCACATGTGAGCAGACAGAAGCATTAACCTTATTGAAATAACTTTGCTGTTCTGGCGCTTCCTTCTCTACAAGTAAAATCCACGGTTCTATAAATGTTTCTCATTGTATGGAGTCACTGACAGAAGCAAATAAATAAGCTAGTGGGGACGATGTCTGAGTCACTGTTGCTGACATTCACCTTTTGCTTGGCCTCTATTACTTTGGCTTCCAAATCAGCAGGAATGACTCTCCCTCTGGAAAAGAAGATGAAAACATGATCCAGATATTTTGATCTTTTACCAGGATGTGTGCATGTAGGTTAAGTATAAAGCAAACCTCTCATCTGTGTTCAAAAGGATCAGGTTTTCTGTTCCAAAGCCCAGAGCTGCACTGGCTTTCTTGATGGAATAGTGGCTCTGCAAAAACAGATGGTGATCAGTCACAATTCAGGCCGAAATGAAATGAAATGTTCACTTATTATACTGATATTACTTGTCAAACTCAATGTAACTGTACTACAGTGTAGGACTAACATGCTCTGAAGTGAAGAGGACCAGTCTGGGTGCAGCTGCCATGCCTTTGGTTTTGACTTCGGGAAAAAACTTGTATCTGGCAATCATCACACTGTACATGTTGGAGATTGCTCCTCCTGCAGAGACAGTGGAAAGTACACTTACTCAAATACTTTAATAAAGTACAATTTTGAGGTACTTTTATTTCACTTGAGGACGTCTATTCTATTCTACTTTATAGTTCTTCTCAGTGACACTTCTGCTAAATGGAGATTCAGCAGCAACGTCCGTATCTGGAGGCCATCCAGGAAGAGTCAGAGCAAGAAGATGAAATCAGAGGAAGCAAAACAGGAGAAGGTGAGGAGTATTTTCCGACTCAAGTGGATGTGGACACAGAGGAGGTAACGGCAGAAGATGAGAGTGAAGAAGAGGAAGAGGAAGAGGAAGGTGCTGTTCCGCTGAGGGTTTTCAGACCCAGGCGACTTTCTCGTTCCTCCAGCCAAGAGAATTTAGTTCAGATGCCACCTGCTAACAATCACCAGGAAGAAACGCACAATTTCTCAGTTGTGCACAATTGTGCGTTTTTACTCCACTAGATCATACAAGCAAGCTTTAGTCACTTGTTACTTTGCAGATTTAGATTATCAAAACAAAACGTAATTGAGAAATAAATTATGATGTATCAAAGGATGCTACCAGACAGCATATAAGTAAGTTAAATTAGTTAGTTAAAAGATGGCTCATGGCGCCATTCCTGCTTGTTCACCAGTCTGGCTCTTACCTGGAGAAAATATTCCATCACCCTCTCTGTCAGGCCAGCCAATGATTTCTCTCATCTTTTTCAGCGTCAGTTGCTCCATCAGTACAAAGACAGGGGCGATCTCATAGGTAAACCTGGCACAAACCAAAAAATAAATAAAATCAGACCATATACTAAAAGCCAAGGGAACCTCTCTGTCATTGCAAATTGAGCATACGGTTTAATCTTTACCCCGTATATGTGTTTTAGTTGTGTGTTAATTGAACAACAGTATATGAGTAATAGAGTTTTCTCACTGCAAAATAAATTCAATTTCACCTTAAAGACAGTAGGAGAGACTGATGGGATCGATACGAAATACAATGATATTTAACAACAGGCATTTGTATACTCTAATTTTACAGCATCGCTGTATGAATGGAGCAGATACAGCCCTCTGTGCACAGTCACACTTCAGTGACAACATCATCTCGTTGTTGCTGCAGGGAAATGACACAGAAAATACCACACAGTCGTCTTGGGCTCATTGATAGAGCATCAGGAGTTGTGATGAGGTGTTTTTTTGCAGAAAAATAGTAAGAAATGTGATGTTTGCCCAGTGAGAATATTCAAAATATAACAACAATGTACCTTTAATTGGACTAATGTTTATCGTAAACATTGCAGAAAGACTAAGATGGCCTGCTGTTACATTCACAAAGCAAAGTTGGTTCAGGTGCCTTAAATCTTGTCATTGCAGGACTGTTTTTCACACTTTATCCTCTTGAAGTACAGTATATATTTTTGTCTGTATCATCAAAGTACATTAAAGTCCCCTCTGCCTCAGAGAGGAGTCGATTTGGAATTACAGCAAAGACAGGCTCATCCATCTTCTCCAGACCAATATGCTTCTAATTGCATAAGTATCTGTCTATTCATGCAAAGAAAGTAAATGAATCAGTGGAACATTACAGAATGCCGCATTGTGCCCCACAGCATCTTGAGCACACGGTTCTTATATAGAGAGGGAAAAAATAAACAAGTCAGATGCCACTTCGCCGATGTTGCACATTAATTTCACCGCATTCATTCATGCAGACAACACTCACTCATTCTGATTATGTAAGACCTGGATGTGACTGTCAGTCTATTAGTGTCAGTCAATATCTGCCAGGGGTAATTATGGTTGATGGAGTAATTAATAAAGGTAAATTACAAGTATGTAAGCAACCTCCACCCTGTGGTTCAAGTCATCCACTGTGATGGTGCCAACAAAACACAAGCTAACTCCTTTGAGATGGAAGCCTGTGGAAGAGAGACTGATGACTGAAGGAAGAAGACCATAGGAAACAGGTCTGAGGACTGGTAATGTAGGTTTAAGCTTTTCAATAGAGACTTGTAATAAAGGTTTAAACTAGCATGAAATCTGAATCCTCCCTTGTGTAGGTTTTACAAACTGTATTAATAGTTATAAAAGTATTTACCAATGCTTTATAGATCAGTTATAAGCCATTAATAAGAAACTTTGGGGTTGGAAGGTGGTTAGAAATACCTTTTTGTTGGCGTTAATCATTTCTATTTGTGAGTAATGCTGTTATTCATAAGTTGTTAATGAATCAAATTCGATCCAGATCCTCTGCACAACTTCTCTACAAGATAAATGGTCATACAGCCTAATCAGTCGAAGGGATTTTTCACAACATGGCGACAAAAAATTTGTTCTTATTAATGGCTCATAATTGATCCATAAAGCATTTGTAAATTATTTATAAACTTTACAACGTTACAACTTATAACCCCATTATAAAGAGTGAATTTTTAGAAACTCGTACTGAAATTGTCTCACAAAGTGTTTCAACTATTTGCACATAGATTTACTGTGATACTACATGTTATATTTACAGGTTTTCCCTGTTCAATCGTTAAGATTTTTTCCAACATTTGATCTTTATTTAATTGTTTATGGTAATAGGAATGGGAGTAGGAATTGGAAGCATGGTAAGAACGAACCTCTTGGACCTCTTGCCCACCAGGGAGCCCCAGATCTCTCGTTCAAGTTTTACCTTCTTATTTCATCACCATCATCCAATAGCTACTGGTTCATGAGGTACACTTGTACAACAAAATGCAATCAGAATGCAACAACCCTGCAATAAGTTTTGCTCAACCATCATTTACACAGCTACATTAGGGAGCAGAATATTGCAAACACTTCTAAATGTGACTCTGCAAACTACACCCCTCTAGAACAGTATGCACAGCAACACTGCATTACATTCAGAAACATATGTTGTATTGCAGGGCTCCTGTACTGGTCTGCATAATAGTAGAGATGTACCTAAAGTATAGGGCAGTGTACATTAAAGTCATTGCTGGGTCGCGGTCATTGTTGCTCATACTGTGTACAGATGGTCTGAGGGGAAGAGGCTTTTTTTCCCTCCTGGCATTGTTATGTCACAGGAACTAGCATTACATGAAACAAAGACACCATGTAAACTGTGAATGTGAATCAATATGCAATTTAGTTTGCCTGCAGGGCTGAATTATGTGGCCACAGCCTGTGCGCAGGCCAACATCGACAATACTGCGGGGGAGTAGCTGCACAAATGTCTTCTTTTTGTGCCTTTTATTTTCTTGCTTGATTGACAGTCTATTAGAACATGCAGGGTATTCTTCAGGCAAAGACAGTAATTACTGTATGTCACTTTAAGTGTTCGTCTCACTCAAAGCCTTTCCTACATGGGCCGGTGAAAAACAATGAGTACAAATAAGCTTATAAAAATGAATTAAATTAAATGACCCTAATCACCTCCACGATGGATCTAATTCTTATTACTTTCATCTCAGTCATTATCTGCATGACTGTATTTATAGAATGCAGAGATTATTTAAGGAACTACCTGATCAGGGACACTGTATCACAGAACTCACATGTTAGTGTTGGCTGTAGAGGTAAGCCACTCTCCCGCCAGCCCAACGATGTCTAATCCAGTGGACAGCTGGTTAAAGAACCTGGGGTGACCTGCCATTGATAGAGAGACAACAAAGCCACATAATCCCCAGAAAACAATTCATCATTTGAGAGAGAAAAGCCTTATCTGTAATCATTACACTGGCATGTAAACTAATGAGAGTTATTGATTGGAGCAGGCCATGCTGCGCCTTCAGGCCTCTTACCTGTTCTTACTCCATATTTCAGGGTGTCCCTGCAGTCCACCAGGATCTGCTCCAGAGACTCGGGTTGGTCGGAGAGCTCCAGGTTGAAGCCCTCCATGCCCTCCAGCAGCTGGTGGGGGTGGTGGAAGTCCAGCACCTTGGTGGATCTGTCGAAGGTCTTGCGGATGTAGTTGGTGAGGATTTCCACGACTTCCAGCAAGAACTGCATGGTTTGCTCCTCTCCATTTTTAGCAGGCAACAGATCTACAAAATAAAACACATCCTTTAAATCAGTGTTTGCTTGCTCTTGTGGTTTATCTAAGAATCTAAAGATTCCTTTCATGCTGGGAATTTTTACAAGTCTTTCTCACAAATTACTGTTGAATTCGATGGTGACCTCTGGGTTTCTCAGCAGGCTGATAATTACTTTTTCTTATTTATTTTGTGCAACTCCCACCACAGTTTTTTTAAACCTTGAGGAATAAATACCCATGCACCACCAAATGCATTTAAGGTAGCTTGTTTCATGATAACCATGTATAGAATTATTTTTGCACAACTTCCATGTTTGGTTATTAGAATCCAGATTAAAAATCCCACACATTCTTGGACTTTATTTCATATTTTATGTTATATGCATCATGTTTAATCTTACATGGAAATGATTATTCATCTGCATCCTTCTTCTCAAACTCACCTCTGGCGAACAGATTAGAGAAATCCGTCTCTGTGCGTCTGAAACGCGCTTCTCCGCCGCTGTTGTCGCAGGACAGCAGGTTCTTGGCTGTGCGCTCCTTGAAGGAACTCACAATCCTGCTCCTCTCCTCCAAACTGTTGTTCTTCTGCAAAAATCCTAAACGGTTACAAGAAGAAGAGTCCGGGGGATGGTTACACTTCCCATACATGTTGAGAGCTGCAGCTTTTTTTTTCACACTACCAGGCCCACTAATAGTTCTTCTCTCCCATTTCTTTCTTTATCTCCCTCCCCTTCTATCTCCGGGGATCTACGCTGAACATTCTGTCTTTGTATGTGTGTATGTGAGCGTGTGTGTGTGCGTGTGTGTGTGTGTGTGTGTGTGTGTGTGTGTGTGTGTGTGTCTATGAGAAAAGGATCCTATCCTGCACTGGGAGTCCTATTTATGGGCAGAGGGCTCTGTGGGAGGTTGTGCCCGGTGACATCAGCACCAAACTCCAGCCAGGCAAAAACACATCGCTGTCATGTAGCGGCTGTAAATTCTTAGTAAAGCTCCTCCGACAGTGCGCACTTCACTGGGCAGGAAACATCACAAGTAGTCCGATAACAATACAGAAGTACATTTGAGTGGGCCGCGGTGGAAGCCTAATAAATGTACATTGATCAATAAAACCTGCAGGAGAGAATATAGTCCACAAGTAAATAATACAGAAATCCCATCTGAAAATTGTGCAGCAAGCGACTTTTGGGATTTAAAAAAAAAACCAAAGCTTTATTTTCATTTTTTTTCTGTCATTGTATTTTACAGCTTTATTTATAATCCCGAGTAATTAAATGGCCTTAATGAAACCAGCGGAACGTGTCGGTCAAAAATAGAAAAAATGTGCTGCTCACTGATGCATGACATTCACCATTATGGAGGATGTCAGTCCGTCCTTGGTTAGTATTGTATGAGACTGGAATAGACTCTCCAAAGTGGAAAATCCATCCTGCATAATTCCCTCTTCTATTTCATCAGCTCAGAGTTGAATTGATGCTTTTGGGCATTTTTTTTGGTTAAATTACCAAGCTCAGATGTGAGGGGGTAATTTAATCAGCTGAATAATATAAATAACAGCTAAATGGTTCATCCTTGTTTGGGTGATATTTTAAAATCCTATTCGTCCAGTAGGTAATTCATGTTGTTTTCCATTGGGTCGTCGCTAAAAATGATGCAGGCCATGTAGCCAACGGTGATGCTTCTGGGCACTGAAACCAGAGATTGTATCTCTCCCTCACAATTTTTCTGTTTTTGCATAATGTATCAGAAAATAAAGGGAAAATACGAACTTACCACATATCTTCATTCCCAATTTTCTAGTACATCCATGAGCAACTCCACACCAAGCGTCATAGCCTAAAAATTATTTTTTTGTAAAAAAAACAAAAAAAACAAAACAAAAAACAATTACATGGCATTAGAGATGCATAAAAAATCCTATCAGTGCACATTTTTATGTTGAACAATTGAATGCTGAAAATAAATGGAAAGTATGAGGTGGAGTGATGTCGCATGGTGAAACAAAAATAGCCACCGTGGGTGTCTGGTGTCTGGGGATTATTTGAACATTTAGACGCACTCCCCGGGCCCCTGGATCTGGATTAGCCTATTTCCAATATATGTAGGCCTAACCGTTCATGACCTAGGCCAGGACTTAAAATTAATTAGCCGTTTGGGATCCACGCCAGCCAAAAGATCTAAGTGAGTGAAAAGATGCTGGTTAAAATGCAAGCATCAGTAGACACGAGCCGGCTGCCCAGTGACAGATAGAGAATTATTGTGTTATCAAGGGCTTCCAGCCAGAGAGGGGATGGGGCACCTTGGATGGGAAGCATACACGAAATCCTCAAAAGCAGTAATTTAGAGGAGGAGGGGGTGGGAGGGTAGGCGTGGGAGGAGGATGGGTAGGTGGGGGGGTGGGGGGGCAGTTCTATTCCCACATCCCAATTTAACCCTTGCTTTGGATCATTAGATAAATCATTGCCCTGCTCAGTTCATTGGATGCACTTTAACTCAGTCCTCACAATGATTTTTTTTTCTTTTCCAGGCAAGAGGAAATTAGATGGGCAACAAGGAGAAAACTAAAAAAAAACAGAAAATGGGAAGAAAAGAACAGATGCGCGGGCAAATCATTCAGAGCAGATTGTAGGCTACATTTGCAGAGCTGCAGCTAGAAGGCTAATATAGGCAAACCATTTTATTTCTGCATGGGCCCAACATAACTATAATCACTGCTTTTCATCAGACACACGTTGATTCACAACGTAAAGCCATTCCACTGTTAAAATAAAATATTGGTGAGAAGAAATATTCATGTTTACACTCTAGAAATATAAATGCAGGAGTTCTTAATTTCTAAAAGCTCAAATTGTCTGATAACCGCATCTCATGTGTCAGGAGCACATCTACACCTGTAACATGAATTCAGACCTCTATTCACTGGGAGAATCAGGCTTGTTTTTGCTACCAGCTGACAATGAAAGGACCGTGGTCTCCACAGTGCCCCTTCTTGAAGGCTACAATGCTTAAGTGTGCCATTAGGGGCAATTTAATGTATGGGTGAATTAACAGGCACTTGAGGGGCAATTTTCATTTTTCCATGCAGGCACTTTATTCTGCCAGAGCACATTTAGCCAAAACAATGAAAAAAAAGAAAAGAAAAAAAGAGGAAGAAAAAAATATGAATGCATTAACACACCATCCCTAGTAATAATAACAATAACAGTAATAATAATAACAACAACATTAATAATAATAACAATAATTTGTAACTTTTGTTAGGTTAATAAATATTCTTTTTTTTAATTTAGCATTTCTGGTAAGATGGTGGTGCAGCCTCGAGCTTGTTTTCCAGGCTAATTGCCCTCAGTGTAATGTTAGTAGAGCACATCAGTTTTGACAGCAGCATTCGTCTGTCACGCAGACGCCCGGAGGTCCGTATGGGGAATGAAATGCAGCGGTGATTTGTGGCGAAGGAAGCTTTCTCAAATGGCAGCGGATTTTTTTTTTCTCACTCTCTCTCTTCTCTCTCTTTCTCTCTCTCTCTCTCTCTCTCTCTCTCTCTCTCTCTCTCTCTTCCTCGATGAAAATGATTAATGGCATCGCCCACAAAGTAAATAGCACACGTGAAACAGCATTTTATCTGTGATGGACCTACTTGAGCCCGGTGGTCGTAAATTTGTCGAGTTGGGATCCGGTTCGCCGCCAGAGGAGGAGGGTGCAGACGCCGCCATCGCTCCCGAGACCCTGTGCCAAAGTCCTCACCTCAAAAAGCCTGGTCACTTTTCTTTTTTTCTTTATTCACCCCCAAATCTTTTTTACTATCCAAGATGAAAAGTGAGGCTCACTGGTAGAGAGAAAGAAACCCCATAGGAATGTGCAGTATTTCAAAAAAAAAAAAAAAAAATGTGTTGTGCTTTAACCCTGAAAGAGATGCTCAACTTGGCGACACAGACCTGTAGACGACAAGGGCACAATCTGTCTCACAAGTTGAGATTCAGTTGGTCGGCACAGGGTACGAAAATAAAAATAATGAGTAGTGGATGACAAGTTCAGTCTCAACTATTCACTGACAAAAGGGAAAGAAAATCCCCAGTGCACCTAATTTAACCATTTAATAGCCGCTGACAGGAGCACATTATTTCACCATCATATCTTGATCCTGCTCTGGATGGATGATGGTTAACAGCCACCAGGGAGCTTCATGTTTGTCATCCTCATAATAAATGGCACATGCCTAATTGTTGTAGCTAGGGCTCTGTAAAAAAAAAAAAAAAAAAAAAAAAAAAAAAAAAAAAAAAAAGGTAGCCTATCAGATCCTCAGAATTGGCACACATATTGAATACGTGGTGGTAAGGCCATATGCAAAATTAAAAAAAAAAACAAAAAAAAAAACACAAAGAGCAGATTAATTTGGCCTAAATGATCACCAGTATCCTCGCTATGGCTTTACAAACTTGCCAGACAAATATCAGTTCAAGGTGAATGTTGCATTGTTGACAGTGATGCGGGTTAAAGTCACAAAGAGAACTCGCATCCCTCTCTACAAACACGAGACATGAGAGTAAACAGCATCAACAGTGTCTATATACATTTGAATTCACAGACAAACTACAGGTCAATTATGGCACTGACCTTATTTTACGGGGAGTAAACCGTATAAAACACCTGTTAGAGCTTCTCCAATGACAATAAAGAGAGTTCATTCAGTTTTCACTTGTTAGAAATGAATAAAGCCACTTACCGTGATTGTGTGTATCCAGGTGAACAGGTGCAGTCCAAGGCGAAAAAAAAAAACGAACAAAGTGAATTTACCACCAAATTAAGTCCTGGAGGAGAGGCTGCGCTTTTTTGGTACACTCCAAGCAGAAGAAGAAGAAGAAGAAGAAGAAGAAAAAACAGACCCGAGCTTCAGTTCTCCACTAGATCCAAATCAAGGTGACCTTGCTTTTGTTGAAGTGGGTATGATTTGCTGACATTTAGAGCAAGCCTTGTCTGTTTATTGTCATTGCGCACGAATGAGTCACGGGAAACAGAAGCCTACCTCCACCGGTGCTGCATATTTGTGGAGCAGACCCGTCTGCAGGCTGTCTGCAGGTTTGACACTGAACGGCGCCGCTTTCGGCCCCTGAAGTGTGACTTTTTTTCTTTTTTTTTTGGAAGTGATGATTGTCTCCGGGATCTATATAGCTCTGGTTTGAATCCTGGTCACGAACGTGGACTTGAAGTTTGATGATATGAGCAACACATTACGTGAGGAGGGATTGGGATCGAAGAGGGGAGGGGGTGGTAGTGGGGACCGGTTTTGTTCTTGTGGAAAAAAACAAGAGGAGAACAGTGAAGGGGCGCAATCATGAGCCTAAATACTCCTTTAATTGTTTTTATTTATTTATTTCTCCCCAGTCCAATCACGTGAATGATTTTGTCATCTTGGCATTATACAGATCAATAGCAGACGCTCGCAGATAATCTCAACGTTATCTTGTTATTAAATCCAGAATATTCACCTGTCACAAACATCTTATTTTTACACTTTCTCTGCGGGCAGATTGGTGTGACATGCTCAAAATGTAGCTTGCGACACCAGGACACAGTGAGAGGGCGAAAAACCGAGATCCACAAGGTGGCAGTGAGAAACCAAGAATGACTCCTGCAGGAGCAGAGCACAAATGGGCCATTCCAGAAATACTTCATGAAACTAATTATAAACCGACCCATTAATCTGGAACATGTCACCATCATACATGAACACAGGGACATGCGTGGACATGCACAAGAGACAGCCAATCACAAGCAAAGATCACCCTCTCTTAGGTTGCAGGAGATTTGTTAGACTCTGGTGATGGATCATTATGAATCTGATCAAAGGTTTTATCACATGTTAATAACACAAAGTGTAATTTACACATACTGAAGGTATTTGAGACTGCAGTGTTTTTCAGCACTGGACAGCTCCGCATGCTGCTCATGTGTTCCTGCCTTTAAAGGATTCTGTCCTCTGCTCTCTAAAGACTCTCAGGGATGGAGTAGGGGATGAATTGAGCTGTGGGTCCCTATTGACGCCCTGGTTCCTCCCTCTACAGACCCCAGAATTGCTGTGGGACAGTTATGATTCTGTCATTTGACTGAACATTTAGTTATTTTGCAATATGCACCATGTAAGCATAATATTAGACAACAAATAAGTCATAAAGACTAGATTTTGACACAGGGCCCCTCTATGAGACAGGACAAGGTAAAAGTGCAGGACCTGCCTCAAAGGACAAACTCAAACGCTCATATGTACACTAAAGCATAATTGGCTGTTTTGACTAATTGGTCCTCCTATCTACACTTGTCTTGAAGAGATCCCTTCTCAATGTAAGTGATGAGACAAAATCTACAGTCCTATTTGTGTGAAAAATTAATTTTACTTCCAGACAAAGATAATATGAGGCTTCACAGCCTGTGTTAGTTAAATCAAGTGGGCATCTTCCAAAGTTACTGTCTATTCTATTAAAAAAATCCCTCTTTGATTTGACAGAAAACACTGTCTGTGGAAACACAAAGAGATCAATTTTTACAGTATGGACAGAAGGAATACAATCACCAAGAAATCATTGTACAATAACTGATGTCAATGTACATATGAGGCAATTAATGAAATAACCAAAAAAAAAAAAAAATTACCAACTACCTTGATGGTATGGGACTGCTGGAATTTGCCTGCTTTGCTCATGTGGTAATCCAACCTTTTGTACAATCAATAGTCATCACAACAAATGTATTTCTCCTCATCACACATCTGTTGTATACATATTCACTCCCATGAGGTCTTTGCAAAATAAAACCACACAAGCAGATTTTCAGACATTTGTCTCTCAGTTGCAAAGGAGAGGTATTAAAAAAAATACAACAAAAGATGTAAAAACCAAAAGGAAAGGGGGTGGGATTGATTTTCAGCAGTAGCTGTATGAGGCTGTCCACAAGATGGGGTATGATCCAAACCTAGAGAGAGAGTGTGTGTGTGTGTGTGTGTGTGTGTGTGTGTGTGTGTGTGTGTGTGTGTGAGGGAGACAGAGAGAGAGAGAGAGAGGGAGGAGGGGGGGAGTCTGTGAGACAGATTATTCCTGTATTTGTGACAGTGATTGTTTTTAACTGTTTCAAACTGTGGATAAAGTCTAATTTGAACATGTCTAATGGTCTGAATTGCCAGTGACTGAGAATAAGCCTGTGAAAGAAATCAGAAATTTCCTTGAGGGAACAAACATTGCCTGGTTCTGTTCTTATTCCTGTGTGAGTCTGCAACTGTCAGTGAATTGCAAGAGCATGCACAAATTTGGCTTTAAACACAATAAGTATGCCTTGAGTGTAAAGTACTTCATGTAGCAATTTGCACAAACAAATAGATACATTAAATTTAGGTGGCACAGATTCATTGTGATCACTAAAATCAAAGTTATATTCCAAAATCGAGCCTATAGGCAACTATTTAAAAACTCAGCCTCTGGCAAACAGGCACCTGCTGAGAGAAGACACATGCTGATGACGTATGACTCTTAACCCAGAGCTCAGTGCTGAGGATTAACAATAAAATGGGCTAACGCTGCACTGTGTGAAAAACCTCTGTTTGATCTTGTTAAAGCAGGCAAAGCTGTGATACCATCAGCAGCAATCTTCTGTGACCATTTCAGGTCTGTAGCCAGAATTTTAGAAGAGCTGGGGCCATGAGTCCAAGACAACGCCCCTCTTCATCCCCTTCTCCAAAACCAAAAAATAAAGTCTTTAAAATTTCTTATATTTCTTTCTCATATTTGATTCAGTCAGTAAACAGTTTAACTAGTAATATCTGACAACAAGAGAGACACAATACTAAGTACTTACCAAAGAATGAATGATAGGATGGAAGATATCTATGAATTGACCATTTTCTTTGTGAGTTATTCCTGTTTACCTCTGAATCACCTGATGAGCAATGACTTTTGACCTTTGACCACCAAAATCTAATCAGTTCATCATGAGTCCAAGTAAACATTGGTCCCAAATTCCCTTAAGGCATTACTCAGATATCACCTTCACAAAGGCAAAACCATGTTTTGTGAGGTCACCCTGACCTTGACTCCGAATCAATCAGAATAGAGCTACAAGTCAACCAATCACGATATGGCTACAAACCAACCAACCAATCACAATAGAGGCACAAATAAACCATCAGAATGCGGCTAAAAATCAACCAATCAGAATACAGCTACAGACCAAACAATCATAATATGGCTACAGACCAACCAACCAATCAGAAAAGGGCTAAAAGCCAATAAGAATACAGCTACAAATTAACTAACCAATCAGAATACGGCTAAAAATCAACCAATCCAAATATGGCTACAAACCAAGTGCTGAATCAACCAACCATCTAACCAATCAGAATAGAGCTGCAAACCAACAAACTAATCAGAATAGAGCTGCAAACCAACAAACTAATCAGAATAGAGCTACGAACCAACTAACCAATCAGAATACGTCTACAAATCGACCCATCAGAATACGGCTACGTATTTGTGCCAAATTTGAAAGGATTTCCTTGAGGAGTTCCCGAGATATTACATTCACAAGGCCTGAATCTTGTTTTGTGAGGTCACTGTGACCTTGACCTTTGACCACCAAAGTTACATGAGAGTCTCTCAATAGTGAGAGAAAACATAACATTTTGCCACTGGGGGTGCTCAGAACAAACTAAAGAATGAACAATAACAAACTGGAAAAAAACAGTTGTGTTTAAGAATCACTGTTTGTGGTTTGTCGTTAATAAACTAAAGTAAAAACTTAGCAACTACTTGTAAGTTTGGCAGGGTGATGCTTTATTTTACTTGATGGCACAAGAATATCATAAGTATTGGTAAGATAATCAGAGTGGGGCAAGAACTGTACCTCCTTTTTATTCCTTTATATTTATTTGACACAGTGCTACTATATTTTACAGACAAACTGTAATGTCAGCTTGTATGATACACTGTTTGTAAAATTGTTATACTCAATCAAATGCAACATTAAAATGCTGCTTACACATGAATGCATCAGTAATAACAATGAAAATAACTTAATAACATCATACTGCCAGGTGAGATTCAACAGCAATTTGAACATTTTTACTTTTGATACCTATAAGTGCACGTTGCTGATTTTGTGCTTTTGAAGTTAAAGTTACATTTTGAATGCAGGACAGGTAATGCCACATTGTCATCAACTTTTCATTCTGACAGCAGCAATCAATTAGCTTAGCATACACTAACCAGCACTTATGTTTTTTAATTGATTAAGGAAATGATATATCAGTCCAGTCTTCATGCAAAAGTTAAGCTAACTGTAGCTGCGAGCTGTTGTAGCTGTGCAGCGCTGTATTGTGTTCTTTGACGACAAAGAAAGAGTGATTTCATGTCATTGTAGAGAGAATAACACAAATGTATGGGAACACAATCAAGGCAAATATACATAAATAAATTCTACTTTTTTAAAGACAGAAATGTTCCTTGTTAATTTGAGGTCCACAGAAACATAACTTCTAAATAAGGTTTAAGCTCAAAGAGGGTCAAGGACAAAGTGTAAACAAGGTTGGATCCTGAATGCTTGGGGGATGAAAACACATCCACGGGGAGTAGCTGGTTCAAGTACTGGCACTGCGTTGTATTACTGGGCGTACACTGTGAAGCTATGTAAATGCTTATCTGCATCTAAACATATTTATGTATTCAATAAAGAGATGGAAATCAGTTATGAAGAAAAACCACGTTTTAATTACACTTTAATCACTGTGTACTGATGTATAAAACATGGAGCCCAGCGTGAGACTGACTCTGTCTGACCCCTTACACATAAATCTCCATTCAAGAGTCGCCATTTTAATCAGAACTGGCATGAAATTTCATCTTTATCACAACACTTTTATATGTCTAGAAATAACAAGTCAAAGTTAGAATCCAATTTAACAATTTTTCATGGTTTAAATACCCAATACCCCATTTTTCCCTTAAAAGCCAATTAAAATATGCAAAAGTACAATCCTTTAATTTTCTCATAAAAATGTAAATTACTCAAAATGGCTGGTTACAATGAGAGGAATTATTTAACAATGAAAAATAAATC